GGAGGGGGAGGGAAATGGGAGGCTGGGAGGAGGCAGAAACTTTTTTTTTCCTTTTCTCAACAAAAAAAAAAAATACTTCATGCCATGTGTATATCCAATTTATATCCCAAAGAAAAGGATACCATTTGAAGACAGCATATCATAAGGAATAGATCTGTTGGCAGATAATGATGACTTGTATCCTAAAGCCCTGACTTGAAATAACAAATCAGAAACTATATTATTTACAATAATGTCTGGCCAATAGCATAAGAGTAATCCTAGCTTACTGTGATATCCTAAAATAACCAATTTCTACTAATCTTTGGACCACCCACCATGAGGTCGAGGCTTACTGGCAAATTTCAGCAGATCCCATGAAAGGTGTCTCTTCCTGGCAGCAGCTTCATGACTTCTCAGTGACTATTCCTAATTTTTCTATATAGCTCCTTCAGGCTTTCTTTACTCTAATAAGACATTGATTGATTCAGCTTACTTATTAACAAATGGCAATACAAGGTATTCACAGAATATATCACCTCCAAAATCAGCTTCCCTTTTCTTTAATTATAAAAGAGAAAGATTTAATTTTAACATACTAATATTGCAAATAAAAACAGTTATCTAGCAATAATCACAGTTATGATATTCATATGTATCTTATATTTTATCATAACTAAGAAAAACTATAATCATAAGTATTTATTCTTTTTTATAGTATGTAACATTGTATTTCCTGAGTATCCTCTTGTTATAATGAGGAAGAAAGACATCCCCTCTGGTGATGCGTGTGTTTGCAGGGATGCTCTTACACTTGAAAATTCAGATTTCATCCTTCCAGGAACTCAGCCTCTACCGGCTTTGGGATCCTATGTTGTATCATTGCAAAGAGGATTGATTGCAAAAATAAGTCTTCATCTCGATGGAAGAATGTATTGTTCCAATTAAAGGCAGGTCCCCAAGGTTCACTGATTCTGCTCTACTGAAGATAGAGCAAGGAACATCTAGGGCCTTTTTTTTTGTATTCTATGACTAGGTCCTTTTAGCAAACCTAGGCAGCGGTGATGAATACCTGAAGATATTAAAGTAAGTAAGGGGGAAAGTCGGGAACAGACATTTAGCTTGTTGAAATAAAAATGAACCTCATTTGAGAAGGTCCAAGTGAGAAGTATTCAACCTATTTCATTCTCTAGGAAGTTAGCTGGGGCCTTGTACTGAATCAGTAAATCATATCGAATCTAACTCTTTGGACAATGTATTAGTTTCCTGTTGCTGCTGAGACAAATCGCCAAGCATTTTGCTGTTTTAAAGCAACACAAGTGGATAAAACTCCTGATTGTTAGTGTACAAAATGGGTTTTTCTGATTTCAAAACAAGGTGTTGTTCAGGCTGCTTTCCTTCTGTGACTTTTGTTCAGGAGTCCATACCGATGTCATACAAAAAGACGGGTGACTTCCTGCCTTTTCTGCGAATGCTTGTTTTTCTTACATTATTTTTTAGGTCCCTTATCATCTCAATAAAAACCTCTGTGGGTATACTGAGATAGCTAATCTAAATAGTACACGATCACTTGCACATCTCAAAATCATGAACTTAATTGTAGCTACAGTCTTGTTGGCCATACCAGGGAATGTTCACAGCCTCTGTTGATTAAGTCAAAGGGATTTCTAGGTTTATCACACCTGTCACAGAAGAGAAAAGAGTTCTTTGGATTCTACTTTGAATGCATATGCTTCACCTAAGCAGAGGCATAAGGAAGTAAGCACTGTGAGAC